GAGTTTCGAACAAAGACTTTACCAAAACGTTATAGAGGAAGGTTTCCCGAGCTGCTTTGCTGTATCGTCGACGAATTATTACGCAAAGATTGATGAAAGTGCAGAAGAGTAACATGGCGAACCAGAACCACAGGAAAATGAATATCTTTTCATTAAACATGTTCACCTATAAATTTCGTGTTACTGGAATGACGAAAACAAGTTTGAAGTAAAGGAGAGTAATAAGCCGTGGCTCTAAAATGCCCCGTGAGTCCGAATTTCGTCCAAAATTAGGGTGGGCATTTGTGGCTGTCGCTCTGGAGACCCACCGAGAGAAGGTCGCAGCGGAAGAGTAGCTCACACAGTACACACATATTTCCTCACTGGGTCGTTAGGGCCTATTTTCGATATGAATGGAAAACCTGTAAGGCAGCGTTCATACTTCGCGACAGCAGCGGCGATCGCCGCGATCGTCGGTACGCGGCAGAGCGCGCCCCAACGCTATTACTTGGACCGCTCCGAGTGCTTTTAGGGAGAATCGGCTCAATTTCATGCTTTTTTTCTTCTAAATGCAATTGTCTTAGGTACTAAAGCTTGGCTTGACTCAAGGAAAGGTGGATCCAACTTAGTGGCTTTTCTTTTCTATTCTGTTTTTTGATTTAAGATGAAAATGAGCGAAGAAGCGTGATAGTTTCACTTAGAGTAAGTTTCTTATTGTTTCTTTTTTCATTATTCGAGCTTATAAATGAAGCTGTGTATAAATGAAATTGTGAAGCTCGTTTTTCCTTGATATTGCATAAAAGAATTGCGGTTTCGATTCCTAGGTTGGTTTCTTTCTGTTTCTTTTTTTTCGTTGTTTGAACACGACTTGTAAACTATAAATGTTTCGGAAGTTGGAACAGTTTAGCCAATTTGGAACTTTTAAGACACTTATATAAACTGAAACAATGAAAACAAAAGAAACAAAAAGAAGCTCACCTAAAAATGAAGCTGCCTTTATCCACTTCAAAAAAAGGTGAAACTCCCTCGCTCATATTCCAGATCCTCTTAGGTACAAAGTTCTCAGTTAGTAGAAATTATTGCGAGAAAAAAGGTCTTACAAGTTGGATTTGTTTACTTATCAAAGCGCGGTCCAAGTAATAGCGTTAGGGCGCGCTCTGTTGCGTACCGACGATCGCGGCGATCGCCGCGATTGCCGCTGCTGTCGCGAAGTATGAAGGCTGCCTAAGGTGTTACTCAGCCGTTCAATGACTTGCATTTCGACAATACCGTATAACATTTTTAAAGTCTCATTTTGTGAGAGTTCCGACATTTATGGGCTTCACAGTTGAAAATTTGCTTGGTCTAGAAGTTCTCGATTGCGATATTGCAGCCATTTAAAAAATGAATGATTGAGGATTGAGACATTCAAGGAACACAGTAATTTTATAAGAAATTCTTGTCCTTCCCACGGCGAGATATACCTCTTGCGGGTTCATGGTGAGTCTACCTACCTGGAGACTTGCTCGACTCCCCCGACACAGTGCAGCACTCCCACGTTGAATAAACTGAATGCCAGTGCAAATGCCGCGCACGTTGCAACATTACGAGGTTCTTTTTTTGCCGCATCATGGACCTCCCAACCAGTTCAAAGCCTTCATGTTATGATCCACACAAAGAGCAATGGAAGTCAAAGAGCATTTACCACGCGCTCTTGTCAACTTTGAAGCAAAAAAGAGGCAAGTCACATCCACTAGAATCCTTTTCCATATCCACTCAATCACTTTTTGTAACAAATTATTTCCGATCCCTAGCTGTGAACGATTTCGATGTTTTTACTGAAGACTTATCACCCCTAGAACAAGAGTAATTAGCCTGAGCGCTTTCACGATGGGTGAGTCACCAGCTTCATATTATTTGTAAGGGAGGTATTTATTTGTAAAGGAACAAGTCATGGTAGAGGTAAATTAGTTCCACTTACCATCAGCACACATTGAACGGTCCAGTTATTTACATTACCCATTTCGCGGACCGTTAAATCACAGAATGCTACCTGTAAAAGAATTTTGTTCTGGACAATTGGTTGCACCGTCAACAGCACTAATCAACTGTCATTAATAAAACACAATACTCACAATAATGTTCAAAAAATAAATATGCGAGGAAAAGGATCCATGGGAGAAAGGAACCTGCACAACTTACTCCAACAATGACACGAAGGCTAGGATGGAACGAACCATCCTTGCTTGTAGTGCTTTTTCAATTTTTATTAATTCATTTCTCTTCAAGGTATAACGGAAGAATGGCGCTACCTATGAAAACTCTATCCCGATAAACGATCTCTGCTGGCCCTACAGAACCCTATTCAGTGTATTGGGATCCGATCCCAGTTCACTAAGTAGGGGCCATAGTGTACGCATGAACAGGAAAAACCACGAAAACCCAGCTGCCTTTCCCAGGTCGAGAGCCAAATACGATCCCACTTCCTCCCAGCAACGAGCAATTACGACCTCCTCTTATAGCGTCCGTGAAACAAGAAAAATCAACCACCCAAAATTTTTTCGACCCCCCCTCTTTTTTTGGGGAATCTCCAACAACGAAGTGCCCTGCATCAACTCAAGAAACGGCTTCAGCCGTTGATTGGGAAAATGTAAACGTATTGAAACAGGAAAAACTCTTGAAGTGCAAATGAAAAAAAACTTCTACCCTGGGGAAGTGTCCACTTTGTTGCCATTGTCGGCCTCGAAGCATGTCTAGTGCAATACCAGCTCCCCAGAACGTGTATTCGGTACCGAGAAAGTGGTTCAGGCAGAAAAATTGGAGTAACAGATTGCCAAAAATTAGCACCTAAATTGGGAAAATTTGACATTTTTGATGAAAATTTGTCCAGCACTTGCTGATTCACATCTTTCGTTTATTCTTGTATTTCACATTTCCACTTTTTCTTGGGTGCTTATAGTAGAAGTAGAAGGGGAGGACCGACCTTCATTATGATGTAGAGATTGAAAAGACCCGATCCATATCGAACCACTTTCGATGCGTGGACCTTTTGAATAGTGGTTGCAACTGCTCTGTAAATTAAGAGTGTTTCTCAATTTGTTGTTTGTTTTGTTAAAGTAACAGGGAATTAATACCACTAACGGGATATAAGGATCGTCCGCTCCAGTCTTGGCTGATTTTCTTGCTGCGGTCATGAGATCAGCCAAGGCGAGACCTTAAATTAGAAATCTTCAGTTCAAATACCCCCAAAGTTAAAGAAACATTCCGAATTGATAGTGTTGGCAGAGTCAGTAGGATCACTACTCTCTCATGATCAATGCCATCTTCCTCACTTCGAGAGGACGGGCCCGCCAATGAGAAGGCTCCGTGTCCAGGTAAGCCCCCATACGATCAGCTTTTCAGTGTTAATTAGTTAGTCAAGCCTAGTTGAGCAACTTTTTCAGCATTAATTGTGAAACCAAGAGCCTCTACATTTTTTGTGCTGCCATACACTCCATATCTGGGGGATGCGAAGGGCGTGGCTGAATACTTCATTCAAACGTAGCGCAGCAGGCGTTTTTCGTGGGATACTTTCATTCGTTGGAGTGTCATCGTATAAGGTATAATTACAATTATCAAAAGGCAGAATCCCTCTAATACCACTGTCGTCCCCTTGCTCAAATGGGATGCGCAGTCACGCCTTCTCATTTCCGAGATACGGAGCGTACTTCTCAACACTCGTCATGGAAATTGACTGCGCAGTTCGGCCTTGTGGGAGAGTCGAATGGTACTCAGCAAAGCCTTCACAGGTCCTATTGTGAAGGCCTTCAAGTTCTTGTTACCAAAGGAACCTTTTTCACCATTTTGCAGCTTCACAAGAGTTTACAGGTCTCACCACTATGGGACCTGTTAGCGAATTCGAAGGTTAATATCATGCCCCCCCCCCTAAGTCGAATAGCGCATGATACCACTTTGGAAGATAAGCTTAGTGTTGCAAAATACTCACCGCTATAGGAGGAGAAGATGGTCCAAACTCCACGGGGAATGTAGAATAAGAACGCCATGAGCGAGAGAATGAATGGAACCCACTGGAAAACGAATGTTAAACAAATGTTAGAAAGGTGACATTCAGATATCTCATCCCCGAAAAACTAGCAGAAAAAATGGAAAATATACTAAAAAAAAGCTTGAGTTCAGTTCCTTACTCTGCAAGGGAACGGTTAAAAAACTTTGAAAAAAATCTAAAAAATTGAGTTAATCAAGTTATATGTAAAAAGGTCCTTCAACGCATTGGTAAAGTAGGTATCGCCGACTTCTCGGATTTTTACTGTTTCTTCTTTTTTCAAAACTTCCTTTTAACTTTTAATATTAGGTCATCCCATTCAAAGTGGCCGACACATATAGAGGAATGGCAGAAAAGCAAAGGGGATAGAGCAGCGGGCTACTATACCATTTGGAAGCTAGTACCTTAAGCTGTGTATCTGTGAAATTTGGCGAACCTAGCCCCAGAAGAAGTTCTCGAGAAATTGAAGAGAAGCCCGAGTGGTGAAAATCGGCGCCGGTTTTTCAAATCAGACGTCATAAAAGGAAAGTGCGCTGCTCAAATTTGACCTGCGCCGGACCATAGTTGTGTAAGGGTGTTCTCGAAATACACGGTGGAAGATTTGGTTCAGGAGCCCGTACAAGGAAGAAAGGAAAAAATTTGTTGTCGTGGATGGTCCCATAATATTCATCCTGCACAAGAAAAAAGGGTGGATGAAGTCAAGCGCTGAATGTCTGATCACAGAGCCTGGACCTTTGTCGAGCTTCCCGCTGACATCCTTGCTGCAACTGCTGCACGAGTTATGTCCCATAAACTGAGGATGGTCAAGAGGGTGTGCGCATGAGTACCATTCTCTTGATAGAATGCACGAACGCCTGCCAGTACCCGCATTTCTATACCCCGCAGTAATCTCAGCATGAGATGTCACTCACAACTGTGAAAACGCACCCCGGCCCTAGATGAAATATGGGTGGTCTCGGACCTCGAGTCGAAACTCACAATCGTCAATTTTGTATGAATGCAGATGAGAAGCCGCCCGAGTTCTACCATGAAGAGTTACGTGGGCGCAAGTGGATGATCATCATAGCAAAGGATTCCCACACTGTGGCTTTCAAGCGGCTCTATACAGAGAACAAATCCGTCACTGTCGGTGCATATTGCCTGTTCCTCGGCATTCAGATCGACAAATGGATGCTACCACACAACTACAAGAAGGCCACCGTTGCTCGTCATAGTGCCAGACCCCGAGTAACTGTATTGTAGATCAGTGCTGGGACACAAACAATACTGAGACCTGAGTTCAATCGTCCATTCGCCCGTCATAAAGCCATGCGATTACAGCTGTTCTATTCAGTAGAGAGTAACTCTCGAGCCCTCAATGTTTTGGTCATTTGCCAATTGGCACAACAACAATTTACTCAACACTTGTTTGAAAATCTGAAGATACCCGTGCGTCAAAGGCCCTCGGGGCACTGGGAGCGGGTCATTGGTGAAGGAGGGATTTACTCATCCTAAAGCTAAAATATCACTTTTCTATCTATTCTCCTCTTTGTTTTATTCAAAAAAAACCATCGGCCACTTTGAATGGGATGACCTAATAATTGCCAGCCATGAGTGTATTTTCATCGCTTCTTGAAAGTGTATGTCATAGGTTCAAGTCGATCATCGTCTGCCACTGTTCTATTAACGAGCCTGCCGGTTTTAGGCTGAACGGTATTTTTTTTCGGTATTGATTATTGCGATAGACCAGCATTCAACCTATTCTCTTGACAACCCTTTCGCGAATTTCATGCCGTCCTCAAGTAGCCGCTTACTCCCCACAAAATCTCACACATTAATCACTTTCACTTTTTTTTCTTGTACTTCATAGTTTTCGGGTACTTATCCCATATGTAGCAGGATAAAAGTGCAAAAAACTCTTTTGCGCAACAACCTAATCTCAAAGGCACCTTTTTGGCGTAAATGCAAAACGAACCCGATCGGCTCGCACCAGCCCGCGACAGCCAAGATTAAGAGTCTGGTGCTCTACCGACTGAGCTAACCGGGCTGATGACAGAGCGCTATCAGGAACTTCTTTTGAGGCGATCTTCATTAGTGCAATATACTTTTAGAAATGCATCCTCTCAATCAACCGTCAAAATAAGATTATTAACTACTTCTTCGATTGTATTTGTGACATAATCCACCATAAGCATAAAAAAACATTTGCACTAAGCACTGACAAACTGGTAAGAATTTGTTGATTTCAGAGGGAGCAATGCGTTTCGAAACAATGATTTGTTGACTGCCCGGGTCATAACCATTTCAGATTTTTCATTATGCCTTATTCTTCTTTTTCAGCTCTCGTGCGAATGACTGCAGAAACATTTATTTGTTCGTTTTCTAGCGTCTGAAGAGGCACCATGATCCCACGTCAAAATCGATGGATGCGGCGTATCTGGCAACCTTGTTCGCATAGAGCCTACCCATATTATTCGCATTCACATCCCACGATTCTACAGTGTCCGCGAAAGTCAATCCGCAGCTGATTCATGTGACCTGCAAAGCACGCCGCTCCACCATCCATGGCAGCTTTCGCGCTCTGAGCAGGTCATGGGCATAAGGCATCGTTGTGTTTCACACAGCATCGTTGTGTGAAACACATGCAGGGAGGGGGGGTGCGTATTTGTAATTGTTGGGAAGCAGTACGGCCTATGCCCCCTGCTCGACGTGGAAATTTTTGGTTGGAAAACTGGGAAATAAGAAGCTGGCAGGAGGCTGAGAACTTGTAGGAAAGTAGTAGGTAGGCGTTGGGGAAGGGGGAGGTTGTACCGAGACTCTTCTTGAAGGGATGGGTCGTAACTGACACCAGCCATTTCACACAATTGCCGATGCATGGTATCCTGCCTGCCATAGACCCAGTTACCTGCTTCTCCTTTTTTCTCGCCCATCTTTTGTAGCACTTTCCAATGACGAGACCAGTCACCGCACTCTTGCTTTGGTTATGTACTCTACAGAGTCGCTTAGGTGAGACATCTTACCTAGATCGGGACAGCAAGTTTGACCAATATGCGCGAATCGACCTAACCCTAAAAATATCTTCTAGCACTCTCGGGTTACTGTTAGTGTTAATTCGACACGGGTTACCACTGGGCCAACCGTTTCTTTGCCAGCGTAGAGCATGGTGTGGAATCACAAGCTTCTGGGCTTCTTCATCAACCGAACCATACATTGGCTGATCTGCTGCACCCCTTTTTCCTTCCCCATTCATTTCAGTTCGGCGATTATCATCTCTTAAAGGAGTGGACTTATGCATCAGGAATGGATCCGTTTGATTTATTTTTTTTTGGAAAATCGGATTCGACCTTGATGTAGAAAAGGAGTTGTAGGAGAGGGTGGCGATGAAAGTAAAGTACCTGGTAGTAGATCATCTCGCGACCTTCTCTTGTATGTGCTGCAGGAAGATTACTTTGATTCATCGGCACAAAGTAGGTATTCTCCACAAAGCAGTATGACTCGGAGAATACCTCCCATACAGCCTAAAGTTGAAACTTTTCCACTTTCCACCATATGTGAGATAGTAATTGACAACTATTCTGTAATTGCCAGTTTCGTCTAAATTAACAGTGTGAATAACCGACTTTTTTTCTGTCTTCTAGAAGCAAAACAGTTCTCTTACCGTCCATTGGTTGGGAACCCAGCATTGCATTGGCTCTCCAACATAGTTCTTTGCGAAGAGGGTGAGGGCGAAACCAAGAAGCACGTAGATTGTGGTTACCTTGAATGTACATGTACTTGAATGTACATGACGATATTTTTGACAAATGAACATATACTTTCTAGGCGGAGCAGCTCAGAAAAGTGGAACAACTTACATAATTCAAACGGTCGATGGAGTCGTCATCGTGAGTGGATTTCACTCGTTGAATGTAGTGGTTAAGGTTCGAACAGCATTTCGTCCGCGGAAACGATGGATCGCCCTTAATAGTAATAACGCGACTCGCTGGGGATTTCTGAGTTCAATTGCGGAATAAAAGAATGATGCCGCTAAAAGGATCTTTCATCACATGGCAAATGTTTTCGGAACATTAAAGAGAGATAGACAGAGAGAGAGAAAGAGAGAATGAGGTTTCTTTTATGGCCAAAACTAAGGTGATATTAAAGAATATTACGCAGCTACACTAACAGGAGGAGCCACTTGAGCTACTGCCTCTTCTCATTGTGTGCGTACAGTCCTCATCATTGCGGACCGGTGGGGCGTGGCAGTGCGGCTGCATTTGGTGCGGTTTGGCAAAGTCGTTCTGCACCAGTTTTTGAAGCGAACAAGTGCATTACTGTATAATATCCTTCGTATTACTCGTTTTCTACCACTTTTTGTCGGCATACCCGCCTGCAACAAAAAGCTGAGAAAGCGCTGTAACTGTGTGCGCCCACTCCTCTGGCTGACAGCGTCCCACCGGCCCGCAATGATGAGCGCACTAATATGTGCAGCGTTGCCAGTTTTAAAGGGACCGAAGTCGCTCAGTGATGTATGAGGCTCGCTTGCTCACCGGCTCCTCCAAGATCTAAGTGCGAAGTGTGCCTTTGTGACCTACGCAAGGGGGATATATTGGCTACCCTTAAGGGATTAGTTTTTAAAAATACATGAAAACGCAGAAAAGCTCTCTCTGAGGTATCTGCGACCGGAGCGCGCAAACACTTCTCAAACACAGGCTTTCCTATTTTCCTGTCTTTGCCTGACTTTGAAGCACTTGTTTTTGTAGTAGCTTAGCTACGTAAACAAGAATACATAAAAGTACCCTTTAAGGCGAATACGCTCCATACACGGGTGCATCTTATGCCCCAGAAAGTGGGTAAATTATCATCGGCTCTTGTGCAACGTTTCACTAAGCTCTGAAGAGCCAGACAATTTTCACACCTCGCCAGTGTTCTTCGGACCACGGTATGATAGATGTTTAAGGTTTTAGTCAGCATACTGGCTACTATGTTTTCATATTTGTCCTTAGCTCCCGAAAATACGTGCTCAACTGTCTGAATCCAGAGAGTAGCCGGCAGCCGGCTGCAGAATCGTCCATTACGGGCTCTTTCTGAAGCTCGGTGTTTTTGATTCAAGAGAGCAATGAGATACGAAACTGTGCTGGCGCTCGCCGGATTGATCCCCGTGCATACCCGAGGTAGTCTTTTCAACAGCCACCGTAACATTTTACTATTTACGCCTCCATTGTTGCATTACAGAGATCATGGATGGCGCACTTCTCGGAGATAAAGCTTACAAAAGCAGAATATGGAAAGGAATATCTTGGAAATTTTCCTTGAGGCTGTTGTAGAAGACGGGCGAACATAATGCCAACTAAAAGTGAGTTTCTTTTTGCTCGTATTGTTTGTTTGATCCAGAATCTATGGAGAGAGGTCTCAAGGGTTGGTGATGGAGATAATGTGTATTGGTCAGTATCAGGACAATGATAGATTTACTCTTGCATCATCGTTTGAAAAATACGTGATATGGAGGCTGAAATACTGAAACTAAAAAATATGTTGTTAAAATGGTATGAATAAACGAATACAGGCTTGCTACGATAGATGCTCCGAGCAGCCTCAATATGGTACACATTGCTTTATCAGCCTCGTTGTCACTATCAATACGGGGCGAGTATAACATACTGCGGGCGTGTGATAAGAGATGACCGCTTTCTACATGCTTTATTGTAAGAACCATGCATGCGTCCGATCTCTAAACCTTCACTGAACAAGTTACTTCCTTGGAGATTTTCATAGTTTCGTAGCCATTTTTGGGCAGCAGTTTCTATTCTTTTTCATGATTCAGGGTGTTGTGCAGAGAACCTTTGCTTTATGTACTATGTGTGGCTTTCAAAAGTCACCTCATTTCTTTCGAATAAGCAGCGATTTGGAGTTCAGCAATCTCATTCTCGTTTTCGTGACTCATATAAAGTACTAATAGCTGTCGTTATCTAAGGACCGTGGGTGTATCGCTAGGAAGGGAGCGTGTAGAGACGATTAGTAAGCATCTGCAACACTTCGTGGCCCTCTTGACTGTCTTAGCCTTCACCGCAATACCTATTAACTACTTTACTAGCTGTTGCTTTAGTAAAGTATGATGTTGTATTACGATGTCTTGCATCTAGCCTAACACTTTCTTCAAAACATTATAACTTTACTA